ACTGTCATGGCTACAGCTGTCTCTGATCTGTTCCTCTGGTAGTCCACCACAAGTTCATTGGTTTTGCTGATAATGAGTTTTCGGTGATTGCCTTGCACCATCTCTAACAGTCCTCTGAAGAAATAGTCTTCAGGTGAAGATGGCGTGTTTCTTACTGGAAATAATTCACTGGAGTCATACATGTCAATATAGTGTTAACTTCTGTTTTGCCAAAAATACACATAATACCTTTTATTAAATACCCGCTAACTGCTACTGGACTGGTTGGTGGGAGCATACAACCACAAGGCAGTTTTTCTCTGTGCTACTCAAGTTACAGGAAGCAAAAGTTACCCAAATGCAGAAGTCATTCATGCAGTTGCTGTGTTTGAGTTGTTAGGTCAATATTTGTAAAGATGAGCACATATCTCCCAAAATCAGGAACCAGAGACTAAATGTTTATTCTGTGATGTGAAACAGAGCTGTATTTTAACAGTGACTCAGCCTCTTGGTGTACACAACCAGATAAACATTTGCTGATTTCTTGTATACATTTAGTCCAAATTTTAAGCTCACCTAGTAATAATATTATCACAGTATTGGTTTCAGGATAGCACCATCAACACTTTGAACTCTTTTCTATTGCATGGACTTAATATTCCCTTGTCTTGGTTCGCAGAGCGATGGAAGAGAGCCTCCAGCACCACCTGTTGACTAACAGTGGAGAGTACCAGCACTCACCCACCCGCTCTGACTGGAGCTGCACAGTTAGCTAGTGACTGTGACCAGGACAGCACCATCTCCCCGTCATTCAGATATCTTTTGCTTTTCTCCTATTTTAATGCCATTGTGTTTTGGGGTAGATCTGTCTTTGATTTCTGTTACTAGAGTCCAGCTGATACTGAATTAATGAGGCCAATACAGATATATTCCAAAGTTGTGAAAAATCTTTTTTTTTTTTTTTTTTTGAAATAAAAATAAAGCATTTGGGCAACAAAGGCATAGGCAGGATATTTGATAATGAAAAAAACTTTGGAAATGTCTTGGGAAATTGAATAAGAATACATAAAACACATTTACACACTCATAAAACTTAAATTAAGAGCAATAATTACAAAAAATATTGTTTTTTATATCTGCAGACATATATAAACCAATTTTGACTGATAATATTGTCCATCAATATTGGCATGTTGATATTTCAGCTGGGCTCTATGTAGTATTGACCAAGTCTTTAATCAGAAGGCTTGGCATTGTTCTGGGTCAATCCCTGTTCACAGCTCTGGTACTGATTAATGTGCAGAGACTCAGACGTGAACTCAAAATGAAGGAATGTGTCATATCATGTTTTGGTGGAGACGGGAGGGCTTCTTCTTGTTTGAGTGCTTGCTGAGTGACCTAGGGTGACGGTTTAAACATTCCTCTCTTTCTACTTTAAAGTCACAACTCTAAACAGTGCCAGTAATGATGTCATATCACATAATGTTTTAATAGCATATTTAAACCAGCAGAATGATTCAATTCAATGTACTGAGTTTATATGAAAAAGAATAAATTCTGAATGGAGTGCTGCAGAGATGACATTTATTTGTAGGCCAACACTGAGGTTAACATCTCCCTTGTTCCTTTGTCAAAAGTCCAATGGGATGTTCCTGTTTGATTTTGGATTAAATCGTAAATGCAATCGCCAGAAGTAAAAAGCTAAAGTTAGGCTACAAACGAACTACACTATAGTCACATGACTTCAACTCCGCCACTGCAACGAGGCTGTACAGTTGTGTTCGGTCTTATTTGGCCACTTGTTAGCAACTGCCTTTTTAAGGAATGTAAATGCTTCAACATTTATGAGTGGGGTATCCACTGATGGATTTTACGTTGTAGAACAAACCGTGAACGTCCCTAAAGCTTGTGTCAACCACCGACCTTATTTTAGGCATCTAACCAAAAACACATCCAGAAAACTCACTGACATGAAGACAAGAGAACTGTGAGTGCTAACATACTCATTACTGGGTTTTTGCACTCAATCCTGCAGCACTCTATTAGGATTACGATAACATGGCATATTGATTTTAATGCAGTGAAATCATCTTCTGTGTTTACATCCAGGCTTCAATCTTATACATACTCCAGCAAATAGTCCGGTCTGTTATATGATCTATATTTCTAAGAACATGTCTGTCCCTTTAAGTGACTGTTTGTTTGGTCACTGTAGTAGAAGTGATTCTTACAGTAGTGACCCATCTGTTTAAAAGGATTAAGGTATGACCGTTAATTGGTCACGTTTCAGACAAAGTTCACATAGCCAAAATGAACTGGAAACCGGTGTAAAGATGGGGTTTGTTAAATGTGGTCATTGTGAAACAATATACTCAGCACAAGCATTTTAATCATATCGAGATGATACCATGTACTGTAATTGTTTTGTGGTTAAAAGGTAAAAACCTGACATAATAGTAGCAGATAATCATATTTTATCAGCACTTTTGTTGTGATATGTCGTTTCCTTATGAAGGTGTGTTGTTCTGATTCAGCCGTCATTTCTTTTCTCGCTGAGAATCGCAGCAGTCTGTGATTAATGGGAGCAATCCGAAGTTTCTACTTCACAACTTTTGTGTGAAAATACGTCAAAGGAAAGGAGCAGCTTAAACTGCATTTTCAAACAGTGCCAATGTGAATTTAAATTTCTGGTCTCAATTTAGAGAACAACTTCTTGTGAAAGAAAAGCAATATTTGAGCTCATTTTTACTTTGAGATAAGACGACAAAGTTTTCTGTCACGTTTTCTCATTAGGGTTATTTTCTTGCTAAATAAGTGATGACTTCTACATCTAACTACTTTTATAGAAGGTTTGTCAGCTGGATCAAAGGTTGAATTATAATTAGTGAAGAGAAAAATAGAAACCTTGAATGCACAACAATGTAGTGGTGAATGTTGTGGTGTTCCATAACCATGTGTATAAATGTGGATGGATATTTAGAACACAGTACAACAGCACCACAAACTACAGCCTCAATACTACAGGAGAAAATCAACCCTTTTTGATACAATCTTAAGAAAAATCATAATATCACATCATAATAGGTGATATCTTTTTTAATATGTCTGTTGTTGGGTATTGGATTGTGATACATACATAGAGGGTTTCCTGTTTTTCTAGTCACTGACTGTATCTTTGTCATGCCCCTGTCATGGTAACATGGACATGAAAGTGTGTGTGGGCCTTGGATTATGTTCTAGGGCACCTGTGATATCACAAGTTACATTGATTAGTCTTAAATTTGAAGTGTTTTTCTTGAATACATGGTGTAAGAGTTCAGACCTTGGATATGATCTGAGTTCATCTCACCAATCTCCAGTGGTTAGCTCTTAATAGCCATATCTGCAAACGTGATCTAAAACTGTCTTTACATCTTTCTATACTTGCTTGGGAGATGGCACAGAGCAAATACAAGGAGGGAAAATGTTAAGTCAACCATAAGCAGTTGTATAAAATTAAGGGAGAAGCCACACTAGGTTGTTGAGATGGACAAGTGGAAGATTTGGTACCACAGAGACCTTGATTTACACTGTTTCTGTCGAAGAGAAAAAGGGCTTCAACTATGCACTTTTCCTATAACAAAACAAAAAAATAAAAAGAATTCAGTCTTATTGCCCGGCTGTTTTTACTATAACCTTTTATGTTTCTGCATTCACCACGGCAGATACACTTAATCTGTTGTGTCGTTAATGAAAAATATTATTTTCTGGCTTTTAATATTTGACATAAGCTTGCAAACACCTGCAGCTGTGTGTATTTTATCAGTCCATAATCGCAACAAAGCATTATAAGTACATAACCATGTGGGATTTAGCTAAAACATTTGCTTACTTGTACTTTGATTTTTTCCATTTTAAGCTGTGGCATACCAACTCTACTTTTTAAAGAAATGTACTTTTTCTCCCCTCCAACATTTACCAGACAGCTATAGTTAATTGTTACTGAGCAGATTACGGTTTTAAATACAAAACCTGTGATGATCTTAAAAAACATGATGCTTTGTTACTCATGAAACTACCCTTTGACCAACCATAACATTAAAATGCTGCTTAGATGTGACTGCACTGTAGCAAACCATTAATGCAATATATAAAGATAAACCACAGATTAAAAATTAAATTAGGACTTCAGTTTGATGCGTTTTGAGTGTGTATTGCTAATTGATGCAGATAATTTAATACTTAAACAAAAAATTTGAATGCAGAAATTTTGCTTGCACTTCAGTTTCTTTTAAATTGTAGTACTAAAGTAGGAGACCTGAAAACTTCTGTTTAACACATTGGTGTATTATACTGTATGACTGTGATGGTGTTTTTGCAGCTCTGCTCTATCTGGAGCTTTGGCAGATATTTTTTAGATGCCTGTCTTCAATAATAATTAGAGTTAAAAAAAAATTTACTCATCTCAGTATTATCAATTAACTGTTCCAAAAAATGTTGAATAATAAAATGTCATTGTTGCTCTAAAATATCACCCATCTGGCAGGAAATATAGGTTACTTTTGTATGGCACTCTAATGAGACGTAATAAGCAAACTTTCTCTATAGTGACCTAGTGACTCAAATGTAATTCAAAAGTTTCACCACACTTGACACACAGAACACATCTCTTCATATGGGATTTTAGTGCTTTTTCTATTTTACATGAATATTTTTATGAAAAATTCATGATTTTCTTAAACCATTTTAATTTAATATGACCCAGTGACTCGAATGTAATACCAAAATGTATCACTACACTGGACACAGTGTTCACCTCTTCATGTGGGATTTTAGTGCCTTTCCTATTTCTTATTTATATTTTTGTGGAAAATTCCTGATTTTTTTTTTTTTTAACTTATATGAATGTGACCTAATGACTCACCTTTTCATATGGGATTTTAGAGGAAGTTTTTGTCCTGTTTATATTAATGTTGGGTCACATTACATACAAAGAGATGAGAAAAAAGTCATAAATTTTAATTGCAAATCAATATGGCTTGCATTCTGGCGTGCTAGTCAGCAAAATGCATCTTTATTATCCGTATTACATATTTGTGTTTTTATCTTATTCGGAACCTTTTCAGTGTCGGAGCTTTGGGTTGAGTAATTTTCTGAGCATGCGCAGTGTTGAAACGGAACTGCCCTCTACGTATCCCAGGGTTACCATCAACAATTCAGTTAGCCCACGTTAGCTTTGTCAGTTTGCCTTTAGATTGTATCATTTATGAATAGCTGTATGGTATGTATTGAATCAGACAACAGTCATGTGCCAGTTAAACTTAGCATAATGCTAATGTAGCTATAACGTCTGCACAGGAAGCTTAGTAGCTTTTTACCACAGTGAACTAGTAACGCCAGCTAGCATGCTAATCTCGGTGAACGCGGTCAGAGGAAAGTGTTGATAGTTTTCAGAATGACAAATCAGCAGTTCCTGGCGTACACAAAAAGCCCCAAAACATCGAGAAGAACAACATTTCAGGTAAAAGCTTTACTGTGTGCAGTCTGAATGCCCAACAAACGACAAAGGAGTGGATTAGTTAAATCGACAGCCTTCTGAAGTATGAAGGTATGTAGTTATGAAGAGTCATGTTAACATGACATTATGTCTTTGTAGGATGAACTTCAGGCTGCCGTCTCCGCCAGGGCGAGCAAAACAAAACCAGACCAGTACTCGTACTCTGATGACTTCAATGAAGATGAAGATGGTAAGATGACAGAACATAAAAATAACTTAATAATTAAAAAGGCTTGTGCGCGTGATTCGGCAGAGGAGGAAAGTAACTCAGGACATTTACTCAGTTTTGAGGTACTTGTATTTTACTTGACTATTTTTATTTTCTGCTACTTTACACGAATACTCCGCTACATTTGGGAAGCCTTTTGTACTTTTTACTCCACCAGGCTACATTTATTTGACAGTTTTAGGTACTTTGAACTTTAAAATGAATGATACAAAATATATTAATAAAAACTAATAAATTATGATGTATTATAGGTTGAGCTATCCCACAATATACTGTATAATGTAATCATAACTAGCCCCACCTTTACAGCTGTAACATGAATGTGATGTACGCATTAATGCATGACTTACTGTAATCCAGCAATACAATATATATTATTATGGAATAGGCCATTCTGCAGGATAAGTACTTTAACTTTTGGTATTTTAAGTATATTTGTGATGCCAATACTTTTATTCTTTTACTTGAGTTAGATTTGAAATGCAGTACTGTTACTTCTAACAGAGTATTTTTACACTGTAGTATTGCTGTTTTTTCTAAAGTTAAAGATCAGAGTGCTTCCTCTACCACTGCAGGTAGTCCTCGCTTTTGTTTACTTTGTAATTGTAGTCTGTCACCTTTATTTGTTTCTAATGGTAGTTGATTTCTATGCAGCAATATTCCCTTCCTTTCACTCCACTTTGTGTGAGTTACTTCATATTTGTATGCATGTAATTGTGATTCACAGCAAAATGCATTCAACAAATTGAAGAAACTGTGAAGAGGTTTTCAAAAAAAATCTCTCTAAAGTGGCAGTTTTTTTACAGCAGTGATTCTCCACCAAGGGTACTCAAATGCAGTTGCGAAGGGTCTGTCAAGTAGTTCATCTTTTTTTTTTAAATAGATAAATAAATAAAATAATTAGGATTTGGTAAGCCTCTTGAATGTACACAGGCTGAGATCAGTGCGAAATTTGTGTATTAATTTAAGATATCTGTGCACAAAAAAGGTGCTCTAAGTGCAAAAAAAAGTCTGAAACCTTTGCAGCTCTTTTCACTCACTCTTTATCTTCTTATTCTGCACTTTGAGCACCTTTTTTGAATTGGTGGACCTTTTCGTGGCTTTTAAGCCCAGTTACAGAGGAGAGGTATCTCCTCTGCTGTCCTTTCTAGTTTGTTTATTGTACCGACGCACCCAAGACAAACCTTTTTTTGCCCCAAGTAGGCATCGTTTCACAGCAGCCCTAAGACTTGGAAAGCCTCTTGACACAAATTTGATTTGTGATTTTTGTTACTGAGCTAAATAATTAGATCGACTTGACTAAAGTGCTTGAGTAGAGTGTGTGAAATCTAGTTAGCCAGAGAGCAGAGAAGTTAAAGTATATAGTCGTACAAATGTTACTTTCACTGAAAAGGTACTAAGCCAAAATGTCGTCAACCTCAGCACCACTTTATTCTGTGTGAAAAGATATTGTCACAATATCCTATTCTGTGTAATTAGCAGTGTCAGATAACATCAGTTTTGAAACAGTCCAATGAAGACATTTGTAAAATGTCACGTGATGTAAATGACAGCGTACTTGAGATTACTGTGCTGTAGGGTTATAGCAGGCAGAAAAGTTGGGATACGCTGCTGCACAATTCTCCCCCGCCAATGTCAGTATGATGAAGGATTTCTATAACTGCTTTGCAGCAGAAAATGATGAATGGAAACAGTAGTAACAGCAGAACATCAACACAACAGACCGTATGGCCAAAACAAACACAGTTGCTGTACTTTGTACTTCCTCTTGCTGTTGTCAGGGTTTGGATAACATTTTTTATTGTCACCTCACCTTCGACTTAGATAGATGCATATTCAGTGTGAAAGTTGGAAATACTTGCTTGTTCACTTTCTACTTACTTTTTCTGTAGTTTTCAACCACATCTCACTGTCTTTCTCAGTAGATGGAGTTTGCTCAGTTGGCCAGCAACCATCTTCTTAGGAAGGGATGCTAAGATGCAGTTTAAGGCTCCAGAAAAATCTAGGAACTAAGTGGACCTTGAATTTAGAGTGTTTTGTCAACTTAAATAGATGCAGTTTAATGGTCGGTTATGTTGTCATTTACTTGTCACTTTCTATTTTTCACAGATTTTTTGAATGAACTCCTCAAATCAAGAAAAAAGAAGGCCAGGGCACTGAAGTCTGGGAAGAGTAAATCCAAAATCAACGATTTTGAAATTTCAGACGATGAAGGCAAACATGGAAGGACAAAGAGAGTTTCATTTCTGAAATCCCAAAGAATCGGCTCTCCCTCAGAAGACACAACAGCATCAGAGTCACGTGAAGACGATCCACCCGACTCTTCCACCGGTCAACACAACAATTATAATGACTCATTTTCATCACAACGCTCCACAAATGCCAGCGAAGATATCATACGATCTAAAAGCAGTGATGGGGAGTCCCACGATCCTCACATCACAAGAGAGAGCTCAAGTATATCTCTGTCATATCAAACATCAGGTGACACTCTAATGGACATGCCGTTACCCTTACCTTCTGACAACAGTGTGATGGAGACTCCAGGTCCCGAGGAGAAGAGCAACTCTGTTCCTGGAGAAAGATCCCAGACTCCACAGTTATCAGCAACTGACCTCAAACACGTGTCCTCAGCAGGTCTGTTTACACTGCTTCATGTATAAAGCCACAAAGGGCACATTACATGTTATTTGCCTGCAGATTTTGAATTTATATTTCCACAAATTCATTGTTCAGATACAGACATGGAGCCACCCAGGCCTAAACCGAGGCAAAGGACTCTTGGATTGAGCCTTCACGCTGCAGAGAAGATAGCTGAAGATGCTGAATCTCAGGATCTCAGCAGGCCCCAGACCTCCTCTATGTCCATTCCCCTTTCCTCTGACACGTTCAGCAACATCGCTGTAAGCAACCTCAGTCCACATGCATGTCTCATTGCTTGGATAGTCAGTATTTTAAAGGGACAGTTCACCCCAAAATCAAAACTACGTTTTTTACTTCTTACCTGTAGTGCTGATTATCATTCTAGTTTGTTTTGGTGTGAGTGGCTGAGTGTTGAAGATATCAGCTGTAGAGATGTCTACTTTCCCTCCAGTATAATGGAACTAGATGGCACGCAGCCTGTGGTGCTCATCATGACCCAATTACTCAAAATAATCCACAGACCTTGTTGTGAGCTGTTTTATATAGGAACTGTTTTCTTTCTACCAAGCTACACCCACCAGCCGTATCAGCATGTAGAAGGAAGCGAGCATCTACTGCTATCTCATCTAGTATCACTGAGCTAGTTAACGTCACGGCCCAACTGAGGAGGACGCCATTAAAGTTCAGCTAAAGCACAAATTAATATGTGTAATTTGTAATGTGACTTTGTCACACTACAGAAAAATATGTCACTAACCACAGAGCCAAATTTGAATGACTAAAACAAAATCACGAGGTATATAAAGTGCATCATCGAGCCATGATTTCACGCCCACCCGAAAAATCCTGGATGTAAAAACGGTGAAAAACAGTTTAACTGTTAAACTCAACAAGTATTGTCGAACATGTATGATATGTTTAGAAAGGAATCTCTGATTTTACTTTACCCTGACTTTTATGTTTACATCTTGCGCTGTCACAATCCTCCCGTCAATGAGTAGATGCACACTTCCTTCTGTGCATTGATACGGTTGGTGGGTGTAGTTTGGCAAAAAGAAAATAGATAAATTTCTCTGTGAAACTGCTCACAACAAAGTCTGTGGATTTTCTTTTGTAACTGGGTCATGATCTCTAGAAAGAGACACTGCTGTTGAGTTTTTCAAATGCATTTTTGGCGCTTTGAACAGCACAATATATATTGTATATTGGAACCAAGGCAGACGTCTCTACGGCCGATATCGCCAACACTCTGCAACTCAACCCAAAACAATCTAGACTGATAAATAGCACAAGAGGTAAGAGGAAGAATATGTATTAATGATTTTGGGATGAATTGTCCCTTTAGATTGAAACATCTGGATCAAGTGTTTGTTATGTTGTTTCACTGTAGTGGACAGAAGGAGATCACCCAGTTTCATTCAGCCTCAGCAAATCCTCTTCGAGTAAAAGTGACCAGTCACAACTCTTCACCAAATCCACCGTCGATTCTGGATCCAGAGGTAATAATCTGCATCTTCAGCACCATAACCTTGATTTTTAAAATTTGGTTCATTTATTCTCTTGACTTATTTTCAATTATTGTTTTAGATGGCTTCATTTCTGATGACAGTAAAGAGCAGGAGAGAAAGTACTCCACATCATTTGAAGACTCTAATGTAAGTCATTCATTATCAGGTGTGACTGAAAGTGTCATGTCAGTTATGCTCTGATTACTCACAGTCTCTGTAAATGTGTCACTGTCTTATTTCAGGTAGACTCAAGAGATCACTCACATCAACTCTCTGATGTCCATGAAAAATCATTTGATACCAGGTTGGTCAACGCGCTGTAATAACAGATACTTCTGTAGCCATGCAGATACAACAGAGTAGTAATTTAACTGACTGTCATATTATTTAAATTAGGACGTCAAGTTCCGTCTCTAAGACCACTCAGAGACCTCAGAGCGTGTGCTCCAGGAAAGTGGAATCAAAGTATTTGGGAACTCTCAAACTTCTGGATCGTAAAGTCTCACTACAAGAGTCTCAGCCTCAAGCAGCAGATTCACTCAGAGCTGCCGTTTACCAGGTCAGTGTGAAAATGAGCCCATGTTGACAGCAAACTTCGCTGCTGTTAGAAATCTCCACAGTGTTTTTCCTGTGTTCTGTGTTTTATTGTGATGACTATAGGCAGGCAGTGTGGTTCTCCTCAGCACCATCTAGAGGAGCTCTATCTTACACACAGGCTGATAATGATTTGATTACAGGTACATGATACGTGGAATATACTAATCAAAAGATGAGTGTTAAACACTTTGTAATTTCTGTGTTTCTACATTATGCTCAGATTTCATGAACCATGACTCTTGTGAGTTGCACTGAACCATATAGCCCCTTAGTCTTACCTAACCTCTTACCCCTTTGTCTCATGAAGCCCAAGGCTGTCGGACGTGGTTACCTTGGACCTAGGCTAACCTGTTCACTAAAGCCATGATTAGTGGGAGGGGAACCTATGGGCAGTGGTGTGGTGGAAGGTATTCACAGTAAACCCACTACTTTTCCTAGCTGTTCACAGTATACCCACCTATCAGCCAAAATAGCCACTGGAATATATATGAGAGTATGCCCACTTCCTCCTCCATAACCTACCCATTTACCTAGTAATACACTCGCCCAATAAATCACCACTACACCGCTGTCTGTGATTAATATAGTCAAATACTGTTTTTAGAGCCTCTTGGGTGGGTTCTAGATAAAACCCTAGGAATATAAATGGATTCTCGGTAGAAGCCCCTGGATGGGTTCTCGTTAGCACCCTTGGAAGGTGGAAAGATTTTGGATAGAACCCCCAGAGTGGGTTCTGGGTGACATCAATATACTAAAGAAGGGTGTTCTCCTACTGGGACAAGCCTAAGAACTCTATATGGTTCTTGTTATCACCTTTATTTCTAAGAGTATTAAACGCTCCATTTATAATTTCTGTGTTCCAGTGTTTACCTCATATTTTTATTACATTATTATCAGGTATCAGATACAGAGGAATGGATTCCAAAGAGCTAATTTGGGCTTGAAACATTGTACTTGTCCTAATGTAATAACCAACAAATTTAAAGGGAGAGTTTTGCAGTGTTGCCAGTCCTCATGAGGCAGAAATCTGAGGGTTTTTTTTTATTCAGCACCTGGACAGCAAAGATGTGCGTGTGTTTTGTACACACATTTCGGTAGAGGGCATACAATTTCTACAATTTATTCTCATGCAAGTAAAATCCCTGCCCACTTACATGTTCTCCCGACAGGAATGGCTTCAAAAGAAAAAGGAAAAGTCAAGAGAGAACATGCAGCTAAAGAAGAAAGAGGAAATGCTGAAAGAAAAAAAGAAAAAGGTGAATAATCCCTTTTGTAAATTGAAAGTACCGCACTTTCATAGAACACTCAAAAACACAATTTTAACATATGTGCATCATTCACAAAACAAACAGCAAGAAGAGGCCAAAAAGGAAGACGCTGTTGCATCATATGAGGCTTGGAAAGAAAAGAAAGTAGAGAGTCTCAAAGCAAAAGCCAAAGAAAAACAAGATGCAATCAGAAAAGAGCAAAGAGCAGCTGAAGAGAAGGAAGAAAAAAGGCAAACCGCTAAACAGGTATGTTGATTCATTTATTTAGCATTATTCTGAGGGGTAAAATAAGCACTTCTGTGGGAAGATATGCTGATCAGTAATATTCTAAACATTACAGGTGTTTGAAAAATGGAAACGTGAACGTGATGATCTACTCAAAGAAAAGCAAAGAAAGCAAAGAGAAGCTGAACGTAAACTTCGGGTTAGAAAACAAGAAGAGGAGGAAGAAAGAAAGAGAGACAGCAAATCTGCTACTTCTGACTGGTGAGTGTAAATGAGGTTTTACATTTACTATTTATTTATTTTTCTCATTTATTCAAAGGGTGATGAAACATTACCTCTGACTGTGCACTGACCTCCAGTGATACAAAGTAGACAGGAAGGCCATACTATCTTTTTACTTTATACTTGCACTTAGCTGTTGGCAAAATGCAGACGACCCTAACTCACCCTCCCATATAAAACCTACCTCTGCACAGGACCGCATATATATACTAACCTTTACCTACAATGCTTGCCTAAGAAAAAGATAATTTGTCCTAAAAGTAGTCTTTAACATGGTTAAAAAATATCTTGAAGAGGTCTCAAACAAGCATTAAACTTAAGTGTCTGGTACCTGTAGTTATCTTGTTAATAAGTAAATAAATGAATACAGAAGTAATTATGCCTCTGAAATAAGTAAATGAGGCTATGAAATACATCCTGAAATGAATGAATGAGGCAGTAAATATATGTAGATATAAATATATAAATGCATTCATATAGATATATAAATAAGTAAATAGTTTTAAGGATGTTTTTCAAAGGACTACTTTTTATTGTGGGGATTTTCATTTCATAATTCCACATTATTTCACAGCTTTTTAATTTCCATCTGCTATCTTCAACAGAATGGGGCATGGTTATCTCACAGACGTAGACTAAGGCACCAGAACAGCAATTAATCACATTCTCTTTTTTGATTTCATTGGCATTTTTATTTGTGTATTAATTTAGTGTTGACTAGTCGAATGGCATTATATAGATTAGCAGTTAAATTTATCACCGCACCTAACTGCTGTCCTGTCACACTCAGACCTATCTGGGTGTGACTACGATCAACCACTAGATGGTAGTCAAAGCTTGATGATTAGCCACATTTCATTTCCTCTCACTGTCATCGTAAATGTTGTTACTTATGTTTTTTTTTTTTCTTAAAATGTTTAAGGAATGAAAAGAAGAAAGATGTCCTCCATGAAAAAGCCACAATGCAGCGCAAAGAAATCAAAAATAAAGCAGAGGAGGAACGTTACATGAAAGAAGAGAGAGATAAAATGGCTTTAGAGATGTATGAACACTGGCTGGTAAGTTGAATTACTTTTGGCACCAGAGATGAATGGCATCAAAGGAGGTGGCTCTTTATATGTTTTTTAACAAATGGTCTCACTCACTTTTGGGGTTGATTTCCTCCATTATGGTGGCAGTTTTCTGAGATCTGCCAGCAGTGGTGATCCTCGAGTCTGGGGATCCCAGGCAAAGAAGCTAATTGAGGCCCTGTCCTAACTGACAGTATCCAGCCATCATATGGTGGCCATAAAGGGGCCCCACTTGGGGTGTTTTGGGGGCAGCAATGGTGCACTGTAGAGTGCCTTTATAGGAGGTTTAATGGGTTTGTAGTTGTCATTGCAAAATGTGGCAGTATGAGTGGCCATCAAGGAGGTCCTTTTCGCAGTTTTTTTTGTTTGTTTTTTTTTTCCGAGGTGCCCAAACATTTGCATGGTTTAACTCTTGTGATGGTGCACCTCTGTCAGCCAGTGCTCAAAGAAATATTTGTATTGAAGCCATCTGGAATATTTCTGTTTTGTTTGTTTTTTTTACTAACAGGTACGAAAAGATTTGGAACAGAAGAGACAAAGAGATGAAAGACGAATACAAGCGATACTCCGAGACAGTCCACCTCCCCCGTGGAGCCCTCCGAATAAAACAATACCATTTCGAAAATAACATTTAAAATGTAACAAACCAGCCTTATAACATCGTTGGGTTCTACGTTACATTTGAAGTTTTTATTTTTTCTACCGTATGTTGTGTTACAAACATTGATGGCAGCTGATACGTTTTTAATATTCTTGTCAGGGTTTGTATCAGCCAGCAGCTTGCAAGTTTATATGTTTATATGTTTTTGATGAAATGTTGCAGTATGTTTAGAAATTTGGAAAAATGTGTTCCTGCGACATGGTTATGTGTCAATGTCAACGGAATCTTGCAATAAGAAAACCCTTTTTATAAATGTGCTGGGCTGTTATGACCAGGTTATACTTCTGAATGTAAAGCAGCAATAAGAAAATTTTTTAATGTAAATGGTTAATATAATTGGTATGCAGATTCACTTTACTGTTAATTGTTGAGCTGTTGTTGATGTCCACGTAAAGTTTGTTTTTGTCTATGAGAGTACAAGAGGCTCCAAAATATCACACAATTTTAGAAACTGATCTGTTTAACGCTCAGCACTTGTTTTATGTTAAACATGACTTAATTTGTGAATTTGTTTGTTTTTATCTAAAATGCTGGTCATTTTTGCATGTCACAGTTTTATGTTTTATTCATTATATTTGCATTTTTTTTCCATCTTCGAAACATTTACTTTAGAATAAAAAAAAATTAAATCGAAAAAAAGTCTCTAATGTTTTAAGTGATGCATCAACACAACAAATTAACGAGGGCAACACTAAAAACTTTAAACTACTTAATTTTGCTTTGTTTTATTAATGTATTGGTGGAAAAAAAAACATCTTGCAGCAGCAGTTAAATTTGGGAAAATCTTCCCAAAGTATTGCATGCATGTTTGTGTGATGATGTGTAGGGGGAATAAAAAAATTAATAATAAAGGTAATACATATCTTTTTTAAAAAACAGCATAGTGGTAATAGTAAGGAAGGAATTAAAAATAAAATTAATTAATATTTACATGTGTCAGCTATTGCAGACTGGAGGGTCCTGGTAGAGATGCAGAGGTGGGGGCACTGACTGCAATTTGGATTTACAACTGAGACACAGTGAAATCTAATTGTTTTAATGACTGAGTGCTGTTAGGGATTAGTTTATGGCCTGCTGTTAGGACTGCTCCTACTCTATTATGCAATAAAAAACTCTCCCACAAAGCTGGGAAAATGTTCAGATCCTACTATGTATGCCAATGCATACTGAAACAAAAGACGTATGTATCTAAAGAATATGTGTGCTCCAGTTCCTTCTTTGAGATCAGGACTTAAGAAGCTTCAAAGACCCCTTTGTAGTCATCATGTTCGTGTAAAATGTGAGAGTGGAGATGCCTCTAGACTTTAAAGTGCATAGTGTTGTTGTTTTTTAAATGATGAACATACTACACGGCCAAAAGTATGCAGGCACCAGAGAATAAGAGCTCTATGTTATTAATATGGTCATAAGGCACCATTTTGATAATAGTTTGTCGGTTTTCATGCAAAAATATTTCATGGTTCCAGCTTCATAAATATGAGGATTTGCTGCTTTTCTATAGCATTTCAATAATTGTATTCTTTTAAATAATCATAATAATATAATAATTGTGATTTTGCAAACCAAGCAATGGGTTAATCAAGAAATAATCAGTGGAATAATTCATAATGTAAATAATTAGTTGCAGTCCTCAGTTACCAAATAGATTAAAAACCAGCTCCACCTCTCCAACTCTCACGGTAAAACCCGTTTTTTTATTCATGCATGAGTAATTAATCAAATGATATATATAATATTATAACAGCATTGTTGGGAAAGTCTCTTTTAAAATGCAATAGGTGTAGAAGCAAAAATCGGTGCCTGGAATTGGGCCTGTAGGCTCCTGACCTTGTCCTCTACGTTGCTTCTCAGTTGTCCTCTGATGTCGATCTGGTACCTTGGGTTCAGCTAAGTAATACTCAAAGAAAACACTGGAGACAGGCAGAGTCCGATGCAATCGAGTTTAATGTGTTCACAAGCTTCAACACATACAACTCATCGAGTCAAGCCCCGGAACTGGACTGAAAACCGCTCCTCAGCACGTCTGCTTTTATGCTGGTGGAGACTGGGTAGAGTCTCCACCTCTTTCTGCTAATCCATCCCACTTTAATCCAAATCTATTGGTGGAAACCTTAGCTTCAGATTTGCTTTCACTTTATTTTTAAAAAACGTGAATTTTAGGGACTTTCTTTATGCAGCCCCTTGTGCTTTCATGTGCTCTCATGCAGTATAAACCTTTAATGTGCATCAGGTAATACAAACATTTGAGTGTATGTGTGTGTTATCATTATACAAAACATGATAGGTTATATGTGTGTTCTTTTAGTATGGATACAATATCAGCTCATAACTCTGTACTGTGAATACTTTGACATGTATAACAGTGTTTTAACACATATAGATGCATCTCAATCAGTTTTATAGGCCCTTATACATAAAACATGGTTATATAATGATTATGTGGCTTTTGTTTCTTAATCAACTTATGCAGTATAACACTTTACTTGATTAGGAATTAACTCTTTACACTACATAGGTCACACATTACTAGTTTCCCTGTTAAAAAATATAATAAATAGTCTAAAGTAAATATTCTAATTACCTCATCAGCATAATGTGGCTCATCACATTTGATTACTTTTTGAGTAGTTTCCTAATAAATGATTTAAACTGGGCACTAAAGCTGAAAAATGTTTGGAAATAGGCTAAGAAAAGGCATTCCCTCATGGATAAAAGATTCAAAGCAACAGAATGAATGCTATATTCTAAATATAAACTTTTTACTGAGATAACAAATCATCATGTCATCCCTTTGCAATCACCAAAATCTTGATCAGTAGCCTAACTGTAATTTAATTATATATTTTTCCTCAGTAACTGTAACTGATAACAATTACATTTATTTTGTATTTTAATGCCATGTAACTAGTTAAATATAACTAGTTACTCCCCAACACTGTATAACAATCACAGACAACTTCTCTGCATTTGGTACTTTTACTTTCAACACTTTGAGTACATTTTCTGGATTATACTTTTACTTTTTGGTAACAGGGTGTTTTTACAGTGAGTGTGATAGTAGTTTTACCTGAGTAAAGGGTGTGAATACTTCCTCTCTCACTGTATTCATACAATACATGCAAAAGCCCTGCAATAAATCCTGCCTTCATGAAGGTAATATTGGTCATCTTAAGTTAGCTGTTTAAGAGTTTATAGACCATTGAAACATATAAAATCATGCTTTTACGTTAAAACACCGTTGAGAACAATCTAATGATATAATATATAATAATTTAACAGTCACAGTGCCAGTTTTTCTGTATTGATGGATTAATAGAGCAGGCCTATGTCTTATTCTCTTTTTTGTGCTTCTTTGAGTACATAGTCCATATTACACTCTTGTGCTTTTACTTCAGTAATATTTTCAATGCAGGACTTTTGCATTTTGTATTGGTACTTTTTGTACCAGGGTTTGTACCTTTTTGGATCTGAATACTTCCTGCACCGTCGTTAAGATGTTTTGGTTTGGTGCTTTAACTTTGAAAATTTCACACCGGAAGTATGTTCTGACTGCCTGGTGTCATGGAGATCGAGGTGGTACCCTGGCAGACAGAAGTACCTCAGTTTAGGTGGAGGTAGTGATACGGATAAAGTTGAGAGAGAAGCCTTAGTGGTGTGAGTTTGTTCGTCGAGTACCGGTTTAAGTGTTTGTTAGACGCATTTATTTTTTGTAACAGTTTACCGGCCCCGGAAGCGACGGCTGTTTGGACACATTAAAGAGAGGAGCTAACATAATCTGCGCATTCCTGAAGTTGACTGACTGTCGAGTTGGCAGAGGTAATGTAACGTTAGCTTATGGTTGCTAGCTAGCTAGCTGCTTCATCACAGAAGCCCATTCATTTGTTTCTTGTGTTGAGTCCGCTCACTCGCCGCTTTAGGAAAGAAGTGGTAAACTAGCGTAATTATGCCCATGTTAATGTGTAATGTTAACCTACAAGCAGTGACACTTCATCTGTAGCACAGCTAACGTGAAGTAGCTGATAGGTATGAGATAAAAGGTCGTTTTTCATCTGTTAGACGGGACTGTGCTGCAATGAAAGGCTCTTTATTCCCTGCAAGGCTGAAACGGTGCGACTGGTACTGTAGCTCTGATTAACCATTACGTGTCAAGGCTTGAACAAAAGGAGTTTAAGTTTAAGAAACGAAAATCAAAGTGTAAGAAAGAAACCAAGCTTAACTTTTCTGATAGAGATTTGCTCCTAGTAGTAAATCAGCCTGTGGAGGTTAGCTAAGATTTAAAAGTTGAGACACATATTTCAGCAAAGTGATATATGTGGACAGATGAATGGAAATGTGCTGTTAAGAGTAGAACAGGGCTGTAACTAATGTGTTATTTTCATTCTCAATTAATCTGCCAGTTGTTTTCACATTGAAAAATTCTTTAAACCCAGGGGGGTGTCTTCAAATGGGTCCATGTCACTGGTTCGACAGCCCATTAGTCCGACTGTCTGCGGTGCTGAACGGCTCGCAGCGGGCGTATGGTGCGCCGCGACCGGCTTGAGGCGGAGCAGGCTCACGACTTATGTGTTTGCCACTTTCTTTTTCATTTTAACCCACACCATGATCTTTTCCTGACCCTAACCAAGTGGTTTTTGTGCCTAAACCTAACCAGACCTTAACCACAGGGCATCATGATGATTTCGGAACGGACTTCGGAACAATGAGTTTAATATGGTCGGAACAATGGGATGTCGAACCAATAGGCAGTTCCCCTTCAAATTGCCATTGCCCCACCAGCAATCCAACCTAAAAAAGTTAACTGTCACATCAGACAGAGGCAGAAAATCCTCATAATTGATCTGCAGGAAGAAGTAAATGTTTGGCATTTTTGCTTGAAAATGAATCAAAATTATTGCCAGTTATTCTCTGTTGATCAGATAAATGATTAATCGATCGTAAAGTCTTGACAAGTAATTTGAGCAGGAATTCTGAAAATGACAACATACTCATTCGATCAAAAGAGACCAAAGTAATTTTTCTGATGGAAACTTGCCCTTTAGAGCATGTCAGCCCATAAAAGTTGTTCTGTTAGAGTATGTGTCAGGAAAGTTAGAAACAACATAACTAGTACATAATTAGTCCACCAGAAAGCACTGTCAAGTCGATTACCATATTGCAAAATGTCTTGGTCAGGCTGGCTGCCAGAGGGGTCAAAGGGTAAGGATGACCCTGGCCCAAAGCCCAGGGGAGGGGGCCCATGCAAAGGTATATGCACCAATGGTGGGGTTGGAGTGGGTGTGGGTGTGGCCCACTTTGAAAAATGTCCCCCTGTCCATAATTCCCAATGGCTGGCCAGATCTTTGTCACAATTCTTTAAAAAACACTTTAAAAACTAAGGTATGCATTTAGAAATTACTATTGGCCAACTGCTATGTACTATATTATTGGATTTTCTAAACTCTCATATATTCATACCATCACTGACCTCAGAATCCTAGTATTGGTCAGGCTATAATACAGAAAAAAAAATAAAATTCTGTTGTGAAAGGTCTATCTACTGTCTCAAGCTCTGTGTTTTCCTCTCTATTCTCTCCTCTCTCTACATTTGCAGATGTTTCAGATTAAGAGGATCTGTTGCATTGGTGCTGGGTATGTAGGAGGCCCAACATGTAGTGTGATCGCCCACATGTGTCCAGAGATCACAGTGACCGTTGTCGATGTCAACGAGTCCCGCATCAAAGCCTGGAACTCGGACACTCTGCCCATATATGAGGTATCATTATTAATGTAGTTCTTCAAAGAAAATGAGCTGAACTTTATTAACAGGATTGATAAAATGTTAACCAGGAGTGGGTCATATTTTATTAGTGTTTTTTCCCCTACATTCTTATCTGACCTCTGAGAGTCATATATCTTGAAGGAGTTGTTGGCTCATTAGTTTAATGTAATAACAGGGTTGAAAAAACTGGTGTAGCTAGGCAACCATTCCAGCCAGTGTTTTTGCACAATATTACTCCATAGTGGGCTGAATGAAGATGAAGATTTTTCAGTGTTGTAACTTTTCTACGTCAGCCACAACCACAAGGTATTACATCATCATGACTAGTGTAAAGGGCAGTCGATGACCAGTCATTGAGAACCCGCATTACATTTGTTACTGTTTGTGCCATGTTTGTCCTACACATTCAGTGACACACCCTCCCTGTCTCATTTTTCCCACTTCCTCTCACTGTAGCCGGGTCTGAAAGAGGTGGTTGAATCATGCAGAGGGAGAAATTTGTTTTTCTCCACAGACATAGACTCAGCCATCAGGGACGCAGACCTCGTCTTTATTTCTGTGAGTCCATCACACACACCCCTCACACACATGCTGACACACAGTTTTACCAGCTACAGAAATATATCTGACATTTATGACACATGAGTGAATTTATTGGAGTGGCTGCCCTTCCCCCACAGGTGAACACGCCAACCAAGACCTATGGGATGGGGAAGGGTCGTGCGGCTGACCTCAAGTTCATTGAGGCGTGTGCTCGGCGGATTGTGGAGGTGTCTGATGGCTACAAGATTGTCACAGAGAAGAGCACAGTCCCAGTTCGAGCTGCTGAGAGCATTAGACGGATATTTGATGCCAACACCAAACCCAGTCTCAACCTACAAGTGTGTATTATCGCATAAGAAGGAAACTCTGATGTCTGTTGTTTTGAAAGTTTCTAAAGTATTCATGTCACTGCTTTAGGTGCTGTCCAACCCAGAATTCCTTGCAGAAGGAACGGCAGTGCGGGATCTGAAGGAGCCAGACCGTGTCCTGATTGGTGGAGACGAAACAGCAGAAGGTCAAAGGGCAATCAGAGCACTCTGTGCTGTCTATGAACACTGGGTCCCCAAAGCACGAATCATCACCACCAACACATGGTCGTCTGAGCTGTCGAAACTGGTGAGTGTAGCGTGGCAACTAACAATTTCTTTTATTAGTTTAATTTGCTGATTATTGTCTCAATCAATTAATTGTTGTGACCAACAGTCCATGACAGAGCTGTATGGAGAAATCGCCCAATAGAAAGCACTTACAGGTTGCTTTTACACTGTAAAATGTCCCATTCAGTGTATGTCTTGGTCACAATTCTTAAAAAAAATCTAAGGCAGCCATATTCATATTATTTATGTTACGTGCTAAGTTTAGGCAAGACGAGTGGGATTATTTAGGGTAAGGGTAAGATTGTCATGGTAAGCCAATTAGAGGCAGAGTAAGGCGGACCATTCAGTCACTAGCCTAGGATGCATACTGGACTGATCCCCAGAAAGGGAAAGGGGGAAACATACCCAGCAGTGCAGGAGCAACATTAATTGATAGTCTTGTTATACTCAGTCTCTACTTCTCCCTCTTTTGTTAAGACAGGAAGCCTCAATTCATGTCATTTTGCCTTGTTCATTAAAGTTAACCTTGTGAAAATATCCTTCCATCACATGCTGTAGTCCTTGCCGTCGGCTTCTTCAAGCTATGTTGCCCGTCACCCAGAAACGATCTAATAAACACACAACCACCATTGCCATGTTTCTTTTTGTCAAGCTTGTCTGACTCAGCAACAGTAACTGTTTCCTCGACTTTTTGTAGTTTTCGTGAGTACAATTTTTCTTAAAAACATGGTATGTGCTTGTGTAGGCAGCCAATGCATTCCTGGCACAGCGAATCAGCAGCATCAACAGTATCAGCGCTCTGTGCGAGGCCACCGGGGCTGACGTGGAGGAGGTTGCCAAGGCGATTGGTATGGACCAGAGGATAGGCAGCAAATTTCTCAAAGCCAGCGTAGGTAAGAAATGCATCCAAAAGATGTTTAATGTGAGCTTCTGTGTAAAGTTGATTAATTTAAACACAGATTAAGTGTTGCCTTTTATCTCTTTGCTACTCCAACACTTGGGCAGGTTTTGGTGGAAGCTGTTTCCAGAAGGACGTGCTGAATTTGGTGTACTTGTGTGAGGCCCTCAACCTTCCTGAAGTAGCTTCCTACTGGCAGCAGGTGAAAACTATATTGCATACTACATATTTTTTTTTTTTTTTTTTATGTTTTTACTGAAGGTTCTGTTCCTTAATTGCTGTTTGATTGATTTTGTCAGGTGATCGACATGAATGAGTACCAAAGGCGGCGGTTTGCCTGCAGGATTATTGACTGCCTCTTCAACACTGTTACCGGTAAAAAGATTGCTCTGCTGGGCTTCTCCTTCAAAAAAGACACAGGTGACACAAGGTTAGTCTCAAGTCATGTTTTTGTCTTTTTTGTTCCCTTCTCACACCCTTGTAGACATTTGCCGCCTCCCTGTTCTTTGTTTTTCATTCTGTATTTCTTTGCAAAAGCTCTGTGATGTTGATCATTAACCTGGGAGATTGTTTGTATGATCACACTTTACTCTACATGAACACCTGCCAACACAATGTGGTGAACTCTGGGCCCCAATCAGGGTTGACACTGAAGTGTGTGTGTTCCTGTTGCAACTCTAGGGAGTCGTCCAGTATCTACATCTCTAAGTATCTGATGGATGAGGGAGCCAAGCTGTTCATCTACGACCCCAAAGTTCTCAAGGAACAAATCATTCATGACCTCTCCCAGCCCAACATCTCAGAGGACAACCCAGAAAGAGGTGTGTGTTCTTACCAAGGTTCAAATGCAGCTTCGGAAATGTCTTTTTTGGAATGTATATGACTTAATTACACCAGACACAGCAGAGAATGTAGAGGACATGGGGTAAAAGGGAGAAGACATGCCTCTAAGGCTGGACTTTATATGTGCTTTAGTGAGTGTCTTAAACCCTTTGGCTGCTTCCAGTACCATCCACAATTAAAAAAAATATCAACAATTTTTATGATATTCTAAGTCAATTTTAGGAAAAATGCCTAAAAATAACTGTTCCAGCTCCTGCAATGGTGAATATTTGCTGGTTTAAGATATGATGGAACTTCATTTAACCTGGGGGAAAGTGTTGTGCAGCAGTCACAATACAAAGCAGAAAAATAGTGCCAATATAAAGTATCAATAAGGTTCAAATTCAAATACACACAATACCAAAATTATAACAGCTTAACGATAAAGATCATTCTTCATGCTGTTGCATACAGTTATGTATGTACAATATGATAGGTACTTCTATGATATTGGATTTAATATCTGTGGGTTTTGGCTGTCTCACAATTTTCTGACATTTTATAGATCACACAATTGAGTAATAACAGGCTGATTTAAGTGGAAACAGATAACTTGTGTTGGTAGTGGCCAAACAGTGAAGTTATATCCATCACGTGATGCCATTGGGCCCAAAAAATACCCTGTCCCATAGACTTACATGGCAAAAGAGACGTGTGTGAATCAGTGAATACGTTTTCTTCTCCATTCAGTCTGATAACATTTCGAAAGTCTAGAAGAGCCGCACAGTTGAATAATTTTATCCCCCTTCTGAAGTAAGTGCAGCACTAAATAGGAAGTAGCTGGCACAGGCAGCCAAAGTCCCTATTACACCTACTCTATGGGCCACACAGTGTGGAAGCTGTGCTGGTTATTCGGGTAGTTTTATACACGGTCATCATGCTATAGCCATTACATTGTACAGTCAAAATTTACTTCATAATGATAAGTTAAAGCAAAAATCTTTTCCATTTCAACTTTCATCACAAAAAGCATTTGAGTAGTTTCAGCCTTAGGAGTTATTCATATTCGTAATTATGTTTTGTGGTTCTTATTGAGTGATCTTAGTGATGATTGAGTGATTTTGTAAGGATGAAAAAAGTCATTTCATATTTCTTAGGAAGGCTAAGCTGTAGGGATCACTAGCTGAGGTTAGAACTTTCGACTCTTCACTGACACAGACTTGCCTTTTTTTCTTCTTAGTGTCAGAGCTGGTCACTGTGACCTCGGACCCTTACGAGGCCTGCCAGAGTGCACATGCATTGGTCATCTGCACCGAGTGGGACATGTTTAAGGTCACAATCACACATTGTTTTCTTACCATCTTATAACTTGCTTCATCTTGGGGAACAAAACACCTGTAAGTCATCTTCCCCCTTTAATTCCGCCACAGGAGCTGGACTATGAGAAGATTTACAAGAAGATGCTGAAGCCGGCCTTTATCTTTGATGGCCGCAGAGTGCTGGACCACCTCCACCCTCACCTCCAGAACATCGGCTTCCAGGTGAGCAGAAGACACACCACTGTTACACATCTCACATAAAATTAAAGTTTTTGAACTCAGTGCCATATGGAGCGACTGCTGCTCAGCCTCCATTGTTTCAACCCAACTGCCAGAAAAAGCATTGGTATTGTACGTTCCTTCAAACCACGGATATGTTACATTTGCACGTTTTTATACTTTACATTTCAACAACACTGTGGTTAGGTGTTGGTACCAAAAAGACTTGGTTATTGTTTATTAAAAGAGGTTTTGTCTTAAAATACCCATTTTGGATGGCACGACTCTAGCAGCTAATGCAGCAGTGTCTGGTAAAGAACAACCGCTTTTCGTGGCACTGAATCAGCTGGAAAACAGCGGTGGGTCACTTAAAAGCAGCTGGAAACACAGTGATGACTTGCTACAACACAACCAATTTTGTTGTTTGTTGTTCTCGAACAGTGGTCTGTAGCTTAGCAGGAGACACGCCAGCCACCATCCCCTCCCACTCATTGACAAAGTCAGCTCACTGTGACTGCGTGACTTTAGACACATTGATATGATACAATGAACAATGATTCTCCTCTGGCGACTGGGCTGATTATTATTTCGCTGCTGTTTTCTGTCCACAGATCGAGACCATCGGTAAGAAAGTGACAGCAACACGAATCCCCTACACCCCGGCAGCGGTTTGTCCTCGCATCACTGCCAGTGAACCTCCTACCAAGAAAGCCAAAGTCTAAAACTTACTCCACCTCCACACATGCAACACATTCCTCTCACAACCGTTGTATTTCTGGTGAAAATTTTCACTCAGGTCCAACGCCCTCTTTTGTCGATACGTGCCTAATGATCAAAAAGGCCAAAACAGCATGACTAACTGCTCCCCTGTGTTACGTCTGAAATGGAGAGGTAGAGCCTTCTGTCCAAATTTGTGTGAATGTGATCCATGAATGCGTTAGAGTCAGTTCATTTCAGACATTTCATGTCAAATAGCATTAATCAATCAAACATTTCAGATGCACCGTCTATTTCAAATGAACACGATTAGTGTTAGTCTACTTTTTTACAGTATATACTGTATAATCAAGTATTGTTGCTAAATTGCAAGAACAATTTTATACTATTTTTTAAAAATATTTTTATAAAACTATCTTACTGTATGTTAATCAGTAATGTCCTCTGTATCAGTGACTGTTTACTAAAAACAGCAATGCAATAAAATGTGATGTGTGTCCTTAATATGTGCCTGTTGATTACACATTGATGGAAAGAAGGAAAAAAGTGACAAATTAAAATCAGCAAATGTGAACTGTTTTAATTCTTTAAATATAAATACACATGTTAAGGATATGTTTTGTCTAAACAATCAGTTTACAGAATGAACACACATCTTTCCAGGTGTACAACAATTTTATTATGTTAGAAAAAGTAGTTTTGAGCCCAAATAGTTGGCTTTTTTTCCAGATACAGATATCAAAAGTACCTCTTTCAATACTTCTGTATTGTACCTGACAAAAAGCCAATTTAGGATTATATCGTACTTTTTCCAATGTGACAGACATTTAAAACAGTGTTGCTGCGGGAACCCTCAGACCAAAAAATCCTCTAACCTCATTTAACCATCAGTCCTGCAGCGGCAGACATCAAAGAGCACATAAACAGAGCTTGGTGTTAAAGGTCAGTCGCCCTTTAGCTGAAGTCAGGGCCCCTGAGGGGAGGGAGTTTGTGATGGATGTGATTTAGGGGCCCCTGAGGTGCAGAGGTAAATTACAGCTACTGCAAACCGTGGGTTGTATTTTCTCCTGGCAGGGGTACATAGACAGTCTGTGCCCAGGTTATCTACATGTCTGCAGGCCAATAACTGCTGCTTGTTCTCTTTGATGTCCCTCTCCTTAAAATGATAGACCTCTGGGTTCACACAGGTGAACAGTGCAATCAAAAGGAACAGAATGGTCCCTGAACTTACATGAGATCTTGTTAATGTCACTTCTGTGCTCTGGTTTGATGCCACCTGCCTTCTTCTTTGACCCGAGTTGTTACTACTGATATATATTAAAAGTGTTTGCTGTGCTACAGCGTACAATGATGCATCATGGTGCGGCAGGAGTAAAGTTGATTTTGTCACTGTGAATGTGTAGTTATAGGCAGGGACAGGACTAAAGGGAGAAAGCCATTAGAAGCTGCTAATGTAGGAATTATCATTCTGCTATAGTGACTTCTGCTTTTCTCTTCTGCAGTAGATTCTTCAGGAAGAATTCGCCTATAAAGAGAAAAAAATATATACATATAAATTATCTGATCCATATGAACTAAATGAACAATTACATTTATTGGGCTGTCTCTGGTTTTATGATATATCCTAATTTATGCTGTTGCAATGTTGCACTGGCAAGATGTAAGCAGTGACTGGAGCCTATCCAAACAGCATGTGACCTATTTTAGTTTCACATGATTGTTCTGTGCTCATATTATGAGAAAACTAAAGCCTTGAGCTTTAGGAATTTAAAGGGTCAGTTCAACTAAATTACAAAAATACATGTTCTCAAACTTACTTCATAGCCACACAAATCATTTTTGTTTTTTAGCTCATGTTTTGAGATCTCAAAGGGTAGTGAAAATGGCATTTCAAAAATTTAAAGCAGAAAAAAACTCTTGCTTTGGATAGTCTACAGACCTCACTGAACAGTTTTCACAGAAGAAACAGTCCCTATGTAAACTGTCGACAGTGTGTTCTGTGGATTATCAGGGTATCCAAGACATTCTTGAGAGACGTTACTAATGCTGCTGAATTTTACCACCTGCAGGTCCTGAACCACAAGGGGTAAGTGAGAAAATACATACATTTTTTTCAATTTCGTTGAATTGGCCCTTCAACGGGTAACTTCAGTATTTTTCAGTTTGGACCCCATTTTTTTTTATGTATTCATGTATGGGTGATTAATGAGAACAACTGTTTTTGAAGTTGGTCCAGTACTGAGTGAGAGGGCTGCAAAAACAGGCTGCAATGTAACCACTCGGGACATCTTAACACTCCAATTTACGTCCAATAAAAGTGTTTGTTTTGCCACTGTTGGGCTTGCATGGGGGCGGCATGGTATGCAGTGGTTAACACTGTTGCCTCACAGCAAGGGGGTTCTGGATTGAAACCCACCGGCCGGCCGGGGCTAATTGTGTGGAGTTTTGACGTTCTCCCTTTGTCAGCAGGAGTTTTCTGCGTGTACTCCAGCTTCTTCCCACAGTCCAAAGACATGCAGGTTAATTGGCTATTCTTAATTGCCCTGTGACAGTCTGGAGACCAGTCAGGTTTGTACCCCGCCTCTCTCCCAGTGTCAGCTGGGATAGGCTCCAGCACCCCCTCATGACCCTTAACAGGATAAGTTGTTAAAGGTAATGAATGAACAAAAAATGAATGAATGAAAGGGCTCAGATTGATATTATGAGTGTCTGACCACATTATGGAAAGGATCCCTCCACAGACAGACCTTCTTGTTAAAGAGTAAGATCCTGTTTATTTAACAGGAAATAGCCCAGAAATCATTACCGCCAACGCCACCAGACTCCATTCAAATAAACAGTCATGTTAGCATGTATACAGCCAGCCGGTTTGCACATCTAACTGCGTACATTAAGGGTTTATTTCAACCACACAAGAATTGCTGATTGTTGGAACAGTGGAAAAGTAAACCAAGATAGTTTCTGTGAGATTTGTTTTGTTTCTGTCTGCTTTGACTAAAGTGTGATTTCCAGTGATTACTGTTTATTTAAATGGAGTCTGGTGGGTTCGACGACAGTGATTTCAGGGCTGTTTCTGATTAAAAGGATCTTACTGTTTATCAGAAAGTTCTGTCTCAGTGGGGATCCTTTCCAAAATGTTGTCAGCCACTTAAACTGACAATCTGAGCCTGTCAATGGCAAAAATAAGCACTTTTAATGGACGTAAACTGACGGTGCGAACATGCCCTAAGTGGTTACATTGCAGCCCGTTTCGTTGCTGCCGGCTGCAGCCCTCTCACTCAATGCTGGACTAATTTCAAAAACTGTTGTTCTCATTAGTCACTTAGACACAAAAACATGGGAAAAGGGGTCCAAGTTGAAAAATACAAAAGTGAAGTAGAATCACAGAGTCCTCCTGTATGTCACTGGAGTAAACTGAACTATCCGTAACATGTGCTTGTTGATACTGTGCGAAGTAGAGTGTGTTTCTCACCTGCTTTGTATGAGGATCGCACTAGTGGCCCACTGGCTGTGTAAATGAAGCCCATTTCATTCCCAACTTTCTCCCAGTGGGCAAACTTCTCTGGAGTGACATATTCCTCCACCTAAACCCAAACACACAGTCAAAATGTGCAATACTTTACCAAAATGTGCATTGTTCTTGCAGTGCTGAGCCTTAATGAAAGGAAAAGGATAATGTGCTTACTTTTAGGTGACGTTTAGTGGGTTGCATGTACTGGCCCAGTGTTAGACAGTCCACTCCTGCCTCTCGCAGCTCTGCAACATCACCAGAACAGCGTGGTCAGGGAATTGTTACACTTTGCATCAACGTTTTGGGAGTATGTCTATGAGTACATACCAGTCAAGGTGTTCTGTATCTGTTGGTCAGTCTCGCCCAGTCCCAGCATGATGGAAGTCTTGGTGAGCACAGTGGGTTTAACCTTTTTAGCGTGCTTCAGGACACTCAAAGACTGGTCAAAGTTCGCTCTGGGGTCACGCACAAACCTGCAAACAGATGGGACAGATGGACATCGTGAGCAACTGAAATACATGATCAAAAAGGTAACTATATACCCCTATACTGGAAATATATACCCAGATTATCATTAACAATGAAACACTTGTACTGTGTGTCTTTCCTATGTTTGACACTTCTGCAGTTTATTTAGTATTTATACTGACAGAATAGTCTCTGATGTGCCCCCTGCTGGACAGTGTGTGTATTACTGTCCTCCTGCCTGTGGCTGACTGCCCTCTTGTGGCAGAGTTGTAACCAACATTTAAATTGTGAAGAACAGTCAAAATACTGTATTACCTAGCTTTTAGGAGCACTGCCTAGTTTAACCCCAAAAGCTATACAAAAATAAGGAAATGCAATCTGCAGTTCATGCAACAGCCCTACAGCTACCACGTCAGCAGGGAGATCTGGGCACTGGCTAGATGAAGAGCAGTTTACCATTGTTCATTCACACATACTATCCACATTGTTATGATACAAAGCTGGCTGAAAATGGGCAACGTATACCTTAAATGATGAAAGAGAAATCATCTGCTCACCTTCCAGCTCTGAGTATTTATCCTCTCATAAATAAAATTACAGCCATTACATAAAGAAGCTTTTCAAATAGAGGTAACATATTGAGGTTCAGTCAGTACCTTTGCAGCTCTCGCACCGTCTCCACATTGTGGGCATATACATCCAACCCGGAGAGGGCGATCTTCTCTACTGCTGCCAGGTCACCGCGAAAATCAGGGGTCAGACATTCAACCATGATCTGAGAGTTCCTGAGATGAGGATGACAAATGTGCTTTTTTGTTCATTTTGCACAGATATTAGGATACAAACACCCAATGGATCCAAAAGGGGAAAGAGATTATACCTTTCCTTCAGGTTGGAGATGGTCTTAGCAAAGTGCTCTGCACCTCCATCAGCAATATCTGCAAGAAAATGTGGATTTACAGACATGACTGACAAAACCGCTGGCTAATATTTTTGAAAAGTTAGTTTGTGGACATTTATATAATTTGTTCACCTTTTTAAATCCATTCAGAGGAAATGTTCTGTATGACTAATACTATTCTGAAAATGTCTGTTGATTTATAAGTCATGTAACTGATATATTCAAAGCAAAATTAAACAGAAACGAGCACACACTCTGTCATGATAAGGACAGTGATAGCCAGGAACATTTGGGGAACAAAGCATATGTTGGGAAAGAGTTGTACAATGGTTTTAATTCTGATGGACTTTTGCTGAAGCTTACACGGTCTGTTCCTCACAGTGTGTGTGTTTTTTTAAGTGAGAAAATGAGAGAGGTTCCATTTGTCCTTGTAAAAATCAGAGCTTCATTGCTAGCACTGGTGTAAAGTCACACCTGGGAAGAATCCGGTAGATACACTGAGTTAGGAAACCATTACCATCTCTGTCGACTGAGGTGAGAACCACGTAGTCCAGCCCCCAGGCAGCGATGGCCTTGGCTGTATTGTAGGGCTCGTCTGGGTCCAGAGGTGGAGGGCGACGGGCC